GTCGTGGTTGAGGTCCGGCGAGGAGGAGAAGAAGAAGGAGGAGGAGGAGGAGAAGGAGAAGTCAGCTAACATAAAATCTAACAACCCTCACCTGGCAGGTGGGGAAAAAATCTATGCACTGCAGCTGATTGGCATCGCATGAAGCCACTGCAAGCCGGGATCATGATCCTCGAGCAAGCTAATCTCTCCATTTCGATCGACTGTCCTCCGCGCCAGCCATGTGTCCTGGCACAAGTAAGGTAGTGACCTGGTGAAAAGTGTAAGAAACAAAGAAAGTAACAATTAATGCAAAACATCACTTGTTGGTTCAAGTGAACGCGCATGCAGCAGACCCCGTCCGTTGCATCAGTGTGCAGCGATGCACACATGTACCAGCCACATGCAAGCAAGTGAACACTGAAGAAGAGACCGACCAAGACATTGATAATGCGTACGCCACGCAAAGTCTGTAGCCATTTCCACAAAGGACTCCTGGGTCAAAAGAACATGAGCCTTTCATAGTGTTCGATGCTTTCTATGGTTTCTGGTGAGTCCCTACAGAATGAGCAAGTCCCTTCGTGTCCACCAGCAGTCACCCCCAGCAAAGGCTGCTGAGCCGTATAAGACAAGTGGCTTGTCCCTCAACGTCCTCCAGAACACACCATCTCTGTAGACATGGTTGTCAATGTTCGATTCGTGGCAACCAACGTAAGTGGCTATGTACTCCCCAAGGCAGCTGGCTTAGAGATGCTTAAAGTACATCTGTTGCTGTTGCAGCAGCAGCACATCACATATCTATGTTCCCACAGCACAGGATTGGGAGGGATATGTGCGTTACTTCCGAAGGATGGAGCATGCTGCCGGCCACTTTCGGCCCCCCCACTGATTAAGGATATTAAGGTGTTCTCTTTTTTTGGCTGTTTTGTGACCGATGCTTTGTGGCGGTTCGGTGCTTCCTCGCATCGTTCACCAGGTTTCGCCCTTGCCCATCTTGCTTGTCTCACCCACACAAAATTGAAGTTTGGAATTCCCCTGAATGTGTAAAACATTCTGACAGTTGGGAGCAGAAAATGGAGTCCAGCATCGCGCTCTCACTAGTGAAGCCACGAGTCTTCTTCATTGCGGTGAGTTTGGCCAGACGCCCTATGCGAGCAAGTCGAAATAGTCGAGATGCCCGCTGCAAACGCATGGTCCTGAAAATGCCGAACAAGTAATATAAACGGGCGGATTGGACAACTCAATGGGCGGCAAATTGTGTTTGTGTGCAATGCGTTTTCCACAGCAATTTTCGAGGCCTTGCTGCCTGGTGCGCACTGGTATCAGACGCACCTTGCAAAGGAAAATGAGGAAAAAGTGGAACGCGACAGGGAATGCAAAGATATGCAATGCGCCCTTCGTGCCGTCATGGATGAGCTTCGGACCATCTCCACTTAGGCCCTTCAGCAACTCCGCAGCCGCCTTGAAAGATAGTTCCGAGAATCTTTAAGAGGGTAGTTCAGGGGAACGATGCGTTGAAACCCCCAAAAGGCTACTAGGTAAAAGATGGCATGCACTTCGTACGCTCGAGGAGTTGAGCAACAAAATTAAATGCAAAGATTGAAAATTGAAACATAAAGACGTTGAACATGATTTTGTAGGTGGTTTCTGGAAAATTTACTCATTCCACTTTGACTTTGCCCGCTTTGGCCTGAAGAATCCCGAGTGTCAATCTTGCAAGATGCGAGGGATCAAACTGATCTCGTGTGCTTCGGTTCGTTGAACTCAAACCATATCAAACTCTGAAAAGGTGTATGCATGAATGCCTGCATACATGTATGCATATATGTATGTGTATATGTATGTGTGTATGCATACAAGTATGTATGTGTATATGTACGTGTATATGTATCTGTATATGTATCTGTATATGTTTCTGCATATAAATGTATGTACGTGTATGTATATATATACATGTATGTCGTGGATATGGGTATGGGCATTGGTATTGGCATTGTATTGTATTGTATTGATTGTATATTGTATGTATGAATTGTACGCAAGTATTATGTGTATTGGATGCATTGCATGTATAGTACGCATTGACTGTATTGTATTGTAATGCAACATAATGTATGTGTGTGTATGTATGTATGTATGTTCCTATGTATTGTATGTATTGTATGTATTGTATAAATTAGATGTATTGTTTGCATTGCATTGTATTGTATGCGTGCATGCATGCATGGATGCAGGGATGAATGGATGCTGGATGTAAGGATGTATATATGTATGTAAAGCATATATATAGTATCATATGGTGTGTATATACATATGTTTTATATATTGTACCTTATTATATACATTTTATATCTATTATATACATATTACATATAGTATGTATATATATATATTGTTTATACTATGTATTCAGCCTGTAGAGCAGCCAAAATAGTCCAACGAAGAAACTTGCTACAAAGCCATACTGTAGGTTGATGTAAAATGAAGCAACCTAGTTAACGTCAAATTATCATATGTATAGTTGCAATTATCCCTGCACTGCAAGAAACCTCGTCTGGAAGAGAAGCGATGATGTTAATGATGAAGCTTCCACATGCATACCGTCTGGCAATCTGAGGCCAGCAATCAACCTGCGCATCATGAGCTTTGATGGCCATAGTTTCAAGGAGCCCCCCAGGACATTATCAGGTTATTGGACGGGCTTGCCTGTTTGTGAAACACGTCCTGTCGTCAACTGAGGTAACAAGTTGTACCAGTCAGGCTTTCTCAAAAATGACAATCAAACTCTGGGAGCCACTAGAATCACATGTATACATTGTCGCAAACCACCTCACCTATTACCCTCCATCAAATCTATTCAAATCTAATCACGCCTCTCGCCCCTTCTCGTCTTTGAAGCTGAAGAAGAAATAAATAAAAGAGTCGAAAATGAATAGGCCATCCACAAATCTTGACCATACCTGTCAATGCAACAAGCCATGACATCAAGGCAACGATGCAAATCCTTACAATGAAAACTGTTTACGTGAAATGTCCAGCCTCCCAAACATCAGGATTCATTCCCAAAAAGTCCGCCACCTCCAAATGACGCTATTTCCGTGCAGTTTTCGTGTGCACTGTTTGATGTGTCCTGCACTTCTATATATATATAACCACACCATATACATAATTCGTGTAAAGCTGAAAGTATCTTGTTACACTTTGATCCCCATAGTGAGTTGTCAATCAATGTGTGTTTGCAAGAACGGCAAGTCAGGACAAGTATATAGCATGCGCTCCTGGAGAGGCAAACTACATGGGGAAAATCGTTGAGAACTACTCCCCACATGTTGCTGAACAAATGCCTGCATTGGGTCCGGCTTGTGCAAGTCTATAAAGGTGAGCTGGAATAGGAACCAGGTTCCTATGTACATCAGCAGCACCGTCACTATGCCTGTCCAGACCTGCAACTGATTTCACCACTGAAATCACTCCAGCAGCAAATGGGAGATTCGGCGACGTATCAAACTCACACAGCACAGTCAAGAGCCTTGCGAAATCTGTTGCGCTCCAGCATCACAAACATACTTCCCGTGTGATCCATCTGTTCCTCCTCTTCATCATCGGACTCCTCAGCAGATCTCCCAAATCTCCCAATGTCCTGCAATCGCGTTCAATACAAACTTTGAAAGCAGTTGCAGCCCGAATATCATCGAATATCTGCGAGCCAGCCAGTTCATTCATTCGGCGAACAACAGCACTGGCAAGCACGAGATGGAGGACACCGGATATTCTTTCAGACTGTTCGGCTACCCACTACTACCAAGAAGAATCGTATTTGTACAAGCGTGCTGACGGCAGAATCTCTACATTTAGCCAACATACTGAAAAGAAGTTGGGCTGGTCTCATCGCTGAAAATGAAGCTATATGTAATCTGTAATTATATACAGTTATGTTTGATCATTGACATGAATATACATGAATCATTGATCTTTTACTGAGCCTCCTCCTCTAACCCTTCTATGGGACACGCAACAAAAGGAAAGAAAGCGTGAAACGGATTTTGCCAACATATGTTTAAAGTCGGTGAAATGATGATGTCCTGTGTTCAGTGATTGTCTTTTTTCTTTACAAGGATTCGTGAGGCAAGGTTGGGTAGTATTTATATACATATATTTACATGGCCGTGCCATGCCGTGCCTGTATCTACAAGTGGTTACGGCACCCCATGACACTCCAACCTGGTTGATTCGAACCCCATTTCTTCCACATCGGTTTTATCGAACGGTAGCTTGCTGAAGGCCAAATGAGTCTGTGCACGGGAAGCAGAAGGGTTGGCTGCAAAAAGCATTGGTGGTGATATGTGGTGACAGTGTGACCACTGCCGATCACCCATGAGCTGATTCAGAAGTCAGTAGGAGGCAACAAGTTTCAAGATGTTCCTATGGTGTCCAGTTTGCAGTACAGAACGAGTAGCTGCTTGATTGATAGATCGCGGCAAACTGTGAGAAGCCCTGGTGCCACGTCCGATTTATTCAACACCTGTTGCATGGTGCTCCAACACTTTGCGTTTTGTATGCAACGCTGCAACATTATTGACACCGCTCGCACTGAGGCCTCTTAAAACTGTTTGCAAGGAGTATATAGCAAATCCATGACAAACAACTAATTACCCCGAGGAAGGTATAACACAGGGCCAGGAACAAATCCAGTGATGTGCAACTTTGTAGGCATGTACGGCTTGCTGATATTTACAAGATTTTGTGAGGCTGGGATGAGAGATGGGGACTGAATCAATTCGTCCATTCGCGTGTCTCCCGAATTGTCCCGATTAGGGCACATTGCTTTGCCTCTTGCGCAGGGCATTCAAGACCATTCAAGTGCACAACAGCCTTCAGCAAACACATCCAAAACAGCTTCGCCCACACAAAATCACTACTTTGCCAGCTACAAAGCCTGCACTTGCAGCTCCCCAAGCGAGCAATATGAAGCTTGGGGCAGTCTTATCTGCCAAGGTTCCAAAAGCTGATGCAACAAGCAAATTTCTACTTTTATTCTAATATATGTTTTTTCTTTCTTGGTTCTAATAAATTCTTGCTCCTAGTAGTAAGGCCAGGAGCCCCTAGTAGCTTCCTTGCTCCTAGTAGCGATGCCAGGAGCCCCTACCAATATATCAGAACTGCAGCCCGGTGGTTTACTGGATGCAGTCCTTGTTGTAGGAACTGGAAGGGCTCGTCTGAAAAGTTGATGTGGAAGGAATCCTGACCACTTCGTCCGTCGTCTCGCTGGTGCCTTGGAAATCTTGGCTGGTCAGAGTGGACTCGAAACAGCTTTTGGTCCGACTTGGTGACTGATGGTAACTGAAAAAAATCACTCCGCCGCCACATGTCTTAGATTCTGGCTATTCGCAACTGCGACTCGTCTCCGGGGGCATGGACAACATTGTCGTTCTTGCAAAGGATCAGGCATGATTTCTTCATGACCTGCTTCTCCTAAGGAGAAGGACAGGTCTTGAGCCTGCAATGCCTGCAAACTACTCAAGCTTCATTGCAAGCTCTAGAACCATCTTCTGCCTTCTACATAAGCGCATCTTTACCATGCTTCTTTTTGCGCTGCAAGGCCGGACATGTATATATTCCAAGCACATGGTGAACACATTGTGCTTCCAGCGCCTCCTTTACTGTCAACAAGCAATGCTCCATACTTCGGACTAACATTACAACAGCAACTGAGTGCAAAGCCCACTGCCATTCCTTCTGGAACTCCACCGACCCGACATATGAATCCGGTCTGGCACTGTTTGAGCTTCTTCTGCCACATGCTCAGCAAATCCTTCAAGACAGCTCAAAAAGTGCCTGAGAAGGATATGCTCCAACTGCGAGAGCTTCTGATACTGCTGTTCAATGGTCTTTGAGCGTAGCAACTTTGGAGGCATCCTGTGGCCCAAAGGCTCGGCGAATCAAAAAAGAATGAAAAACAGCTGCATCAAGCGTACGAAGCAGCCTGGAAGATTCCACAGAATCAAGACAGCCGGGCGCAGGCCGAGGGAGTGCAGTATCTCATTTAAGCAGCAGTGGCTTTGTGTTTTGTTAGTGTTGGTGTTCCAGGGTTCCACAAATTAGAAGCCGAGCAATTGACGCGGTATACTCTCGTGTGGTTTTGTGAGGTTTTGGTGCTGGGCAGGGCTTTCAATCATATGCTGGGTTTATCAGACTCAAGTTGACTTTAAGTTTAAAATGTACAACAGAGCCTGGCAAAAGCAAGCTGCAGAACCTGAAGTGAGCTTAACCTAATCAAATTGGCCATCAGAAAGGTTCTTCAAAAAAGCTCCCCCAGCCCTCTGGCAGACTCTGGTGTGGGAGCTTTCTTGAAGAATCCTTGCACTTCTGCATCCCAAACTAGCAAGCTAGCTACGCAAGCTTACTGCTAGCTTTCCTTACCTACCAAAGCAGCCTTACCTACCCGGTCTTTTGTCGTCCTCTCGGTCTTGAAGAATCGGGCTCAAAATCCGTTTTGGTGAAATCCGAGGTTGACCAGGCAGCGCAGGCAGCTTTAGCCTGCAGCAGCCTGTAGGTCTAACCGAATCTAAGCCTGTGCTCTCTCTCTCTCTCTCTCTCTCACAGGCTTTCAAAGTAAACAAACATGTGCCAAAAGTTGTTAACGGACAAGAGTTGTGAAAACAAAGTTAAGTGAGACAGGTACATGCTGTATTCTCCCTTCACATCCTACAAATAATGAAGCAATTGAGGTAAGTTGGGTTGGGTCAGCTTATCTTCAGTTCCAAGGTCAAAATTGACTTCCGCGGAGCGCTGGCGCGGTCCACCTTGGACTGGCATGCTACTCCTTCAGCTGATGTGCCGTCAGAGCGCCATCACAGCTTGAATGGAAATTTAGACCTACATCTCACAAACAGTGCACTTGTGACACGTCAGCTCTCATCATTGATGATGATGTTGTGCATATTCGTGTAAGTTCTCTCTGTTGTACAGGGCTCTTGCCTTGTTGATTCTCGAGATTGCATGAAGTCTGTCACTGCGACTTCAAAGTCATTGAGACCCACCTACTTCAAAGTCAGTACATGACGGAGATTCGCAATTCACACATGTTAAAATACGAGGCGGCCACTGTGGAGGAGTTGCGACGGGCAGCACGAATGGCGGCCTCAAATTGCTTTTCAGGTATGAGAAATGATAAACATGTTTTACGTTGCTTCTCATCTGTGTTGGTCTCTTCAGTCTGGACAATCCCTTCCTCGTTCACCATGGCTTCCAAGGCTGCACCAGGGAATCCCTCACACCTTGCAGGATCTCAAAGCATCTTGCCAATCTTTCCTCTGTATAACTGGTGCCTGGCAGCTATCTCACTGAGGGACTGTTCGTTCACCTCTGTTGCAAGCGGCACCTTGGAATGATAGATTCGGGTTAACGTTAACATTTTGTGTGAAAGTGACTCGCTCGACTCTGGTTGACCCTGCAAGGCCTGTCTCAATCGTAGGTGGACTTTAAGGATGTCCAACCTACCTTCTGCATCGGGGAGATCAACCTTAGAAACTTGCAGATTGAGCAACAGCATACTCGATCAAGCAGGGAAGTTGTAGAAATACATGATATGCATTGAACAAGGCCATGCTGAGGTCTTTGCCTGAACCACTCGATCAAAGCGCCCTGGTCGCAGGAGCGCTTCATCCAGAACCTGCAGAGAAGATCAAACACCTATATATATATATATATTTATAACCCTACCTTGAACGATTAAAGAGAACGAAACAAAACGTGTGAAGTCTACTTGAATCCATCGAATGTCCTTAAAAGACTGGGGACTTTGTGAAGCAACAGGCCAACAGACCCGCAGGCCTCAGGTCTGTTGGTGGCCGCAATCACCACAACTGGGCGTCCCGATTCGCGTGTCACAAGGCCATCCATGCAAGTCAACAGCTGGTTCAAGGTCGACTCAGCCTCCACGCACGTTGAAACAGGGAGAGATGTTTCTAGTAAAGATGTTTGCAGAAGCAACGACAAACTGGGAGCAGAAGCATCGGATGTAGGCACGTGAATCTTAGCTAAACATATTAAACCTGTTTAAAACTAAACTCTCACTTCTTCAACGAAACAAAATGGAAGGAATGACTGGAAAATGATCTGCAAGTGCAGCACAGTATGGCGGCCAGTCTACGTATGCTTGAAATTGTCAGTAGTTGAAAGCCACGGACCAACAACGATCGGTTCATGTCAAGCCTCCTGATTGCCGCCCCCCCAGTCTGAGGGGATCATTCGATCGAGCGCGGAGGGCATCAATCTGAACGCAAGACGTTCAATGTCAAGTGTTGCCAAGCGTTGAAACCAAAGCCTTGCTGAATAAGATTGCCTGCCACATGAAGTCGTGCCCCTCCAAATCGGTGCCTCGTCGATGAAGACAATGCACGGTGCCATCTTCCGAGCTCGCTCAAAAAGCTGCAGGGAGGAGAAGAAAGGGCGGAACAAAAAAGAAAGTCGTCAGGACACTTCAAAACAAATCCAAAAATCCCATATACACAAGTCACATTGTCGATTCCAACCATCGTTTCTAAGCACAAACCCAGGAAACCCCTCCTGTCGAACACGCGCAGCTCCACGTCCAACAAAGAGCTCCTTTGATAGAAACTACAGTACATGCTGAGAAAGTGGAAGCACAAGAGGTGGATGAATGTATTTCTGGTTTGAAGAAGAAACACACTTGAAGGCATGTGTGAATGCATCTTTCGTAATCTGTCTCATCACTTTTCTCTTCTTCTTTGTTTGTTCATTCCTTCTTCTTACCTTTTTCTTTGTACCTCTTGGAACATGCTACTTGAACCAAGGCACTACAAATTCGGTGGCTGCAACATTGAGAAATGCAACTCCAGCCTGCCGCAAGTATACAATGTCACATATTGTCTGCCTTCAATGTGTCTTGCACCACTTAGCCTTTGATGCCTTAGTAATGCTTTTCCTGGTATGGCATATGGTCTTGTGCATTCAACTCCAAGTTCTCTAGTCCCTGTATGCACACATCTACACATCCATTCTTCCAGGTTTGAGTCTATATATGTTAGGTTGAACCGTGGTCTTTGGAGCAATGATCCCAAGACTGTTGTGTGAGGAACCGGCCAAACCTCTTCCCAATGGCTGACAGTGCAAAGGACATATTGCTCTAGGGAGAATCCAATTGTCTTGCACATATTGCCCCAACTGAAGCGGGTGTGGAAGCCTCTGCTGCGCACGCACGAGCTAGCAAGGTTTTGCCAGAGCCGGGAGGTCCAGCCTCAAATCTGTCGGTCTAATTTTGCTGCTCATGTCAAACTTTCTAACTCAATCATCTTTCAGAGGCAATGAAAAGTGCAAATTACTATGCCAATGCCATTGAACTCCACATTATCACGCTTTGGCCAACGAGTTTGCTTCGAAGGTGTCCGCACTGTAGAACTGCCAATCTGGTAACCCGTGCTTTGTTTTGCTCAGCATTTCACCAGTAAAACTCCTCTTGGTACACTTGCTCCAAGAGCTGCATACCTCACATCTTGCCGATGGGAAATATGATCTGTACCACTGTGCAACGTGTCTGGGTTTAAGTTGTGCAAGTTCACTTTGGAGCAAAAGCTATCAGCCTGCTGGGTGATCGAAGCATTTCCACCTCAACACAGGGCTGATATTCCACCATTGATTCCAGGTCTTCCATTTTTGCTCAGCATCCTGCAACCTCTTTCACCTGTCAAACCACATGCAAGGACAGAAAAGAATGTGCATGTCCAACATGAACTGAGAGGAGAGCTCCAAGCCACCTGAAGTTTTGACCGCTCAATGCCGGCAATGTCGTCAAATCGAGTCACCAGGGCATTCGAGCCGGAGACTTTCTGGGCCTCCAGGTGAAATTAATAAGAACAAATACAAAATAGAAAATAGTACAGTAAGCGATGGCCTCCAACCTACTAGCGATGGCCTCAACCTACCAGCAATAGCCTCCAACCTAATAATAGCGATGGCCTCCAACCTACTAGCGATGGCCTCCAAAAAAGCTGTTGCATGGCCATTTCGCTGGGGGAGCTGCAGCTCATGATTACAACTTCTTCTCACCGGCAGACAGCGGGTCCTTTTTGTCTTCCTACTTTCTGGAGCCTTAGAATAAGTTGGTGGGGTCATGTGTTGGTGAGATTGATGTGCGAACTGTCTAGAGTCTAGGCGATTTGACACTGATTGATTGGTGCCTGTCCTCCAGTGATACCAGGAGCGACTTCTATGCGTGCATGTCCTCAATGCCATATTATATTTCGGGAGAGGCCCATCTTGTGCATCTTGTGCTGCCAATGCTGAATTTTCAGGGCGATGTTTTTCGAACGGGATCTCACTTTTTGCAGCACATGATCAAATTCAGTCTCTTTTTTCTACAGGTGGACCAGGTTTTGTCTTGACACGATCTTTGCTTGAGACCCAACAATATGTGACCAACTCCCTTCA